CGGGACCGGGTCTCACCGGTGTGGTCGATGTCATCCGTGTCACTATCCTCGCGCTCGTCGTCTTCCATATTCCCGCGGTTCATGATGAGATCTGAGGGGCCCGCCATGTCCTCCTCTACAAATAACATAAAGGAGTGCATGATGGGAGATTAGTACCAGGCGCCCCGTCCAATCCCGACAGACTATTCAGAGAGGAGGGGCCTGGCGGTACAGTGCCGCCCAACAAAGTCTCCTCCCACCACCGCTCATTACCTGCGGAGGGCCCGGGGTCCAGCGTCACGGAGCCCATATCTCTATGGAGCCGGTCCAGCTGCTCCCGCTGTTCTTTCATCTTCTCCTCCTCCTGATAAAAGGAAGATACGGATCAGGATATCAGTCATACCCAGCCGTGATAAACCCCTCCCCCGGGATACCTGAAAGATGAACATACCGCCAACCTGCGCAGACGCTCATACTCCGGCCGGTACTCTCTGTAGAGGGACCCGCGCGGGGGGGGGGTTACAGCAGACACAGCGCCCAGGAGAGGTACAAAGGACAATCTACAACACAAGACACCCGACTTCTACAGATCACAATCCAAACCCAATATAATCCCGCCCTGCCCCCACCGGGCCCCCACCAAGGAGGGGCCCGACAAAGCTTAGCGGCCATGCATTGACCTTCTATCACTCACTTCTCATATTCTTCTGCTGCCTCTGAAACTTTCGTGAAAAATTCATCCATCCCGGCTCCGGTCATTGCCGACACGCCGACCACCTGAAGAGAGACCAGAATCGCACATGGACCTACAAAACGCACATCACACGTGACAAACACGGTACACACGCAACACGTTACCCGCAGTGCGTTATAGAACTCGTCCAGGACCAGGCTCATCGAACGCGTCAAGTTACTGGCGTACGTCGTCTCCTGATTCAAGGCGTCCTGGAACGTCTCAAAGTCCTCCATCCATTCCACCGCGAAGCTGTGATCGATTATGTCCGTCTACAAAGGATCGATTATTACTGTCTGAACCCCACCGCAGGAGGGACTACTACCCCCCCCCATCCTGAACCCCACCCTAGGAGGGACTACCCCCAGACCCCCCACTCCATCCTGAACCCCACCGCAGGAGGGACTACCCCCAGACCCCCCACTCCATCCTGAACCCCACCGCAGGAGGGACTACTACCAGACCCCCCACTCCATCCTGAACCCCACCGCAGGAG